AACATGACATAGAATCTTAAAAGTATCGAAATAGTCTCGTTGAATATTATAATTAGATATGTGATGTGTTGAATCACTGATGTCATTTTTTTTCATTAATATAAAAATTAAATCTATTAATTTGGTAAAGTTTTTCATTTCAGTAAAATAGATTTATTTTATAATCGAAAATTATTTCTAATTTTGTAACAGTAGAAGAGATTAGATAAATGAAATCAATCTGATGAAGGAACTTGTGGCAGGAATTAAGTTTATCTCACTTCAATTGGTTAAGATATCAAAGTTATTTGATAGATATGATAATTTCACCTATTAAATTCTTGAAACAAAACGATATGAATTATATATATATTCGAATCTGAAAGGTCAAGAATGAATTTTTCTCGACATTGATTCATCATTTCTAGTCCTATTCCTACTTTTAAGTTTTTTGAAACCATCAAAAGACTAGAACATTATCAGACTCGAAACAGATATCAAGTAGAACACTTTATTGAAGCTCAGAGGTTGTATTTATATATCAGAGTTTGATATTATATAATCATATAATTACATCAAGAAAAGTTCTAAGTCAAAGTACGAGTTCTGTACATATTTGATAGAAAATAGATGTTCATTTTTTTTACATTATAATATGAATTAAATTGTATCCTCTAAGGAGTTTTTATTTAATCTTTGAAGATTTCAAATTATATATAATTTTTTAGTTGAAATAGAATTGTCTAATAAGAAAAAAAAAACTAAAATTTTTATCTCTAAATGATTTTTAATACATTAAAATCTATCGAATATCGAAGTGACACTTTTATTTTATTTTCTTTAATATATAACATATCTATTATATTTATATGAACATGGTGATCTACGTTTACATGTTGTATGTATAAATATAATTGCTATATTAATTCGAATAACAACTCATCTTTTAACATAATCGTCACTATAAAATTCCTTTATTAATCAATGTTCATTTGTATTAATTGATTCACAAGACACTTCAATGTAAGTTAGAGTATTAATTGTCTCTTGTTTTTTGATAAAAAAATTTTTTTGTTTTGTTTTTTTAAGATATTCAATAAGATAAATGAGCTGAGAGATTACCTTTTACATTTCGATTATATATTAATGATAATAATACATATCTTATACATGTTTCATTAAATGTTTTACGGAACATTATTAAATTTTTTATTAATTTCAAATTCATGCATTTACAATTATAGAAATTGAATAATTAGAATATTCTATTCAACATAGTAAAAGTTCCTATATTATTGCTAAAGTAGATAAAATAAATTTATCATTATAAGAATTTGTTTTTTTTGTGTCTATATAAAATCGATTATTTTCGTTCAACTTATAAATGATATTAATTATCAAATATTAACTTATCTTGAACAACAACAACAATAACAATAGTACCATGATATAGATGTTCGTCAATCAAATGCTTCGAGTTTTGCTAAGTATGTATTTTGTAGAGATATTATAACTAGATAGTTCTTTTTCGAATTTGAATACATAAGTTGATTTTATTGCATTGAGTTAGTTATTAGTTAGATATTGATTTTAAGATTTGTTGATCTCAATTCATTTTTATCATTTCAATGGATGCATAAAATTCATCATTCATTACAATAATCACATACTTCTCTAATAATATCAAATGATCAACTAGAATATAAATTGTTTATTATTTTATTATTTTATATAGATTCAATATTTAGAATATATTTATGCTCTTTTAAATGTTTTAAGATCAACAACAATTCAACCATTTTTTTTTTCATAATCAACATGATGAACTTCGATTACTTATACATTTTTTTAGACATATATTTATATAAAATGATCTTAATAATTTACAACTATTACTCGATATTATTAATGTAATCTTTTCGAGTCAAGAGAAAAAAAAGATATTAATTATGTTTTCTTTGAATTGTTTCTTTTTATTTAAAGATTTAATCAAATCTCAACAAATGAAAAAAATGTTTTTTGAGAGTAGAAAAATGATTAAAGTAATTCGAAAATTGAACTATTTTATTACCAATCTCGAATTATTGCAAAAATCTTTACAATCATCATTTTTTTTTGGACAGAAGATAATTTCACATAGAAAATGAGTTCCAATGTGTTCGATTTGAAGAATATATGATAAAAAAAAGTTAATCGTACACAATTATGTACTTTTGGAAATAATTCATCAATGATGAAATTATTCGAATTAATATTTTCATCATATAAAATAAAGAAAAAGTTTATTAAATTCATCTGAGAAATGATCATTTTCAACAATTATTTTCAACAAGATTATTATCTATGAAATCAGTTTTAAGTTTTATTTCTACACAATATTTGTAAAGAAAATTGCAATTATTAATCTTTTTTATTCATCAGGTTAAGCTAAAACCTTTAGAATGCTGTATTGCGACTGAAACTTGTCTATGGATAAAACTTAAGATGAAAATCTTATAATTAAGGTTTGTTGAAAGGTCTTTCCTAGACGAAGGAAAATTTCAATATAAGAATGCCATCCCATGTCCTTGAAATCGGGAAAAAATCAGCGATTAATCGCGATTTATCGAAACGATAATCGTGCACTAAATCGCGATTAATCGCCGATTTTTTACGATAATTTCAGCGGTTTTTACGATAAATCGCGATTTATCACCGATTTTTCATACATCAGCCGTGGTATTATCGTTGATCGTACCTCATATAATCACGATTAATCGCCGTTCTTTTACGATAATTTCAGCGATTTTTACGATAAATCGCGATTTATTTACCGATTTTTCATATAACAACCGTGGTATTATCGTCGATCGTACCTCATATAATCACGATGAATCAGCGATTTTGCTTTAGATCGACTACATGTATTCATTTTTTTTTAATTAGCTTTTATTTAGAAAAAAATAGAAGTAGAAATCAGAGAAGAAAATCAGATCAATTACAATTGGTACAATAAATATAATAAAATAATATCTCATACAAAGTTTTTCACTAAGAATATTAATTAGAAATGTTCGTGTGTTTCTGCGTTGTTGATATTTTGTGGAATTGATGGTGGTAAAGATGGTAATTGATTTTCATTATTATTATCACCAATATTGTCACCTATAAAAATGAATCATTGAAATATATATTAGGATTTGGAAAGACATACCAAGTTTAGCACGTGTTACTAGTTTTTTTTTGCATTTCGTCGTCGTGATTTAATACACTCAAGCATTGGTTCCCAAACAGTTCTTAATTCATCAGTTTTTAGACCAAATTTTATTTGAACAGTATCTAGAATAAAAACACAGTATGAATACATTTTTACTTTAGATGAACTAACTTCGAATAGAAATAGTCGGCTTGCTCGACTAGTACATGGTATTTGAGAGTTAAACATCTAAAAAAATAAAATATTTAGATGAGATAAATGAAATATATGTGTTATGACCTAAATTAGAATTCAGCCTAATTAAGACTTCGTCCAGACGAAATTACAATGCTAATTTGGACTAGACGAAATTAGAATTCTAATTTGGACTAGACGAAATTGAAATAATTTCTCAATGAATGAGAAAAGGTAAAGAAAGGCATGATTAAAGTACCAACAACTACTTTATTTTACAAATTTTGTAACAAATATTATATAAATCTTAAGTTTATTCAAGTTCATATTACATAGAGCAGAAACAACTTGTACGATTTTAGTTATTTTATGAAAATCATCAATAGCTCCTCTGTAAACACTACTCAAAATAGCATTGGTTTTGAGACGTTGATTAATATTCTCGATAGCCGCTCTTGTAGTACTGACATTAAATGTAATAATTCAATTTCATTTATCTTATTATGATTGTAGTTGTGAAGCCAAAATCTGATGTATTTATATTTCTTTTTTGTATAATTATAAATTTAGTTTTGTTTATTTAATAAAAAAATATACACCTGAATAAAAAAAAAAAGTTCGATTAACCACGATTAATTCCGATTAATCACGATCAATTCCGATTAATCAAACTGATTTTTCCCGATATAACAATTAATCGATTCTCTTGTATATATCGCGATATATCGCGATAAAATCTGATTTTATCGCCGATTTCTTAAGCAAATACGATTAATCACGATTTTACGCCTGTTTTTTCCGATAATCGGCAAAATTGCTCCGATTTTCACGACATGGGATGCTAACAAAAAAAACTGATTTTCCGAATATCGATGATCGTAACGAGAGTAGTTTATTGTAAAAGTGTCAGATCTTTTCATTTATTTGTTTGTTGAAATCCAAATATTAAAGTAGTTGATTGAAGGGAGCGATCTGTAAGACATATAATATTACCAAAATTGTATCTTAGGATAGAAAACAGGGTGTGGGTGTGTATGCAGGTGTGGGTGGGTGGCTGTGGGTGTGGGTGTCGATGTCGGTGTGGGTGTTGATGAAAATATGAACATCCACACCCACCCTCACCCACACCCACAACCCACGCCCACACCCACCCACACCCCCACATACACCCCACACCCACACACCCACCCACACCCACACCCACACCCACACCCTTATACGTACTTAAAAGTACTTTAAGGTACTTCAGTACTCGAGAGTTCCTCGGGCATACTAGTAGCAAGGTACTTTTTCAAGTACCCATATCTCAGTACATTCACTAGGGTAGTTACCATATTTAAAAAAATCTATTATAATCAAGGATGCTATATTGAAAAAATAAATTTTGATTGTATAGAAAATCAATCAGTAGTGTTTATTCTACACCTGAATTTCTGTCTGAGCTATTATCTGACAAGTAATTATATTATTAAAAGTTATTCTCAGCAAAAAATAGTACAATTATAAGCACTTCTCTATAAAACACATCTTATTAGCGCCTTGATCGGATTGGTGAATATGACTAAAATAAAGACACAATGGTTTTTATGGACTATAAAAGCAACCTCAGTATTCAGTTTGTTTTGTAATAATATAAGAATTGCAAAGAGAAATGTATTATTCAATAATTACTCGATTAGAAGATTTACCCGTAGAAATTTTGATGGCAATATTTGTTTATTTTACACCTGGTGAGATTTATTTATCATTCTCTCAATTAAATAATCGTCTTAATTTAATTCTGAAATCGTTACCCAACTTGGTCCTTGTAATACACAAACATTTAGATCCTTCTATTCTTTCTTTCTACTATTCATTTAATAAAATTCTCGTCAAGTTTCATGCACAACATATGTGTTTTAATTGTCAATCCCATCCTGTAAACGGTGGTAATCGTTTGTTTGATATTTATCCGACATGGGATAACGGATGGTTTCCTCGATATTCTGATGACATTGAAAATATTATTCGTCTTGATATTTGTTCTCGATTACAATCATTAGTTTTACCAGCTACATCACCTGAACTAACACAACTCATATTTCGTGGTCAATTTCCTCGTTTAAGAATCTGTCATCTTGGTAGATGCAAACCAATCATTTTTCCATTAACAATGACTATTCAACAGTTAAATTTTCGTCAATTAACCATACGAAAACAGAATGGCCATGAATTAGAAAGAATTTTATTGACTTGTTCTTCTTTAGTGTATCTTGATTTTTCATGTGATGATATTATTTTCCCATTTGTTATCAGAAACCGTTGTTTTCCATTTATGAAATATCTTCGCCTTGGTCGAGTTCGAAAATTTTTTTTTCACAATGGAGAATTCGATTTTCTTCTCTCAATCTTTCCAAATCTTTCACAATTTCATTTAACTGTTGATCAATGTCGTGAAAATATTGAAATTATTCAATTTAGAGAAATTGCACATTATTTAAGTCATCGATGTCCATTACTGAAAATATTATTTTTATGTATTTATATGAAAGGACATAGATGTTGGTCTTCTTCTATCGGTAGTTTCAGGAAAATTACCGAGATGCATTCTCTTTTCAATTATGTCGATAGATGTGAAACGCGTCTAATAATATCTTCACATGGTTTTATTCATCATCAAGTTTACTCGTATCGATATGCTCGTCCTTCATGCATATGATCATATTCACATTTTCAAACAGAGAGACTTGAATATTTTTTAAACTTAAAAAAATCTTTATCTTATCTAAACATGATTAAATATAATTTAATAAAAACTTCTACGAAATAGACATTATGTCTTACTGATCAAAGTGTTGACATTATTTCATATCTTCTTAAAAATCAATCGGAGGGTGTGGGTGAGGGTGGGTGTGTGGGGGGGGGGGGTGTGGGTGCGGGTGTGAGTATAGCTGACGTCTATTCATATCTACATCCACACCCCACACCCAAACGAGCAATTCTTCCATTCTCAGCAAAAATACTTCACTCTCTACAAAGTCAATAAGAAATGCGTTTCATTTATTTCTACCATCATAAGTTGAAGTCTAAAGCACAGAGAGAGATACCAATCATTTAGTAAAAATGTCAAGTATTTATTTGTTCGTATTTCTTCATTTAAGACAAATATCATAAATATAGAAAAAAAAAGAAACTTTCATAGAAAAGGTGGGTGTGGGTGTTCAATCTCTCTTTCTGCATTCACACCCGTACCCTTTGTTTGAAGATGTATTAAAATGTCTTACTGTTCTTCGAGTTAGAATATAAAAGTAATGGTTTACGTAAAAAGTAGTAGTCCATACTTCTTCTCTGTGTAGTGCGACACATTCTGTTTACTGGGAAAAGACTGCTAGATGAAAAAGCGTATGTATGTTATTGTTTTTACTTTTTCTGTCTTAAAAATTAAAATTTCAAATAGCTTCTCATTTCGTATTTGTTCAGGCTGAAAATTGAGTCGATCGCATATTTTGCCATTTAGCCTGTGATCGATACGAGTTTTGGATTTCAAATAAAGTTCATCAGATGTCTTTTTGGTGTTGATGTAAAGTTTAGCTTGATTATGCGTGTAACTGTAACCGTCAGGTTGCGTTGGATATAGGGAATATCAGTCAGAAATATGAGATGAGTACGGATGGATGTTAGTCTTCTCTGTATTCCCGCATATATCCACACATTCATGCCTAAAGTTGTGGTATAAAAATGGTGGTACTATTCTATTTATTTTAATGAAGAAAAGGTTATAAATTTATTCATAAGAATATCTGATGTATAAACTAAAACTGAACATGTTTTTTTCGCCATTTTCAAAAGGCACATCTATATTAAATCACAGGGCATAATGAACTATTTATTGAAAGATAGAAAATTTTTCACTCAAAGAGTGTTTATTGTAAAATTTGTATACTTTTCTTTTTGTAAGAGTCGAAAAAAGGGCCATTTTGACAATGATACCTAATTTCTGAGGAAGTCGCACGATTGATCAATTTTGTCATTGAAAACAGTATCTAACAAATTAAAATATCATAAATAAGATGATACGGTTTTAGATAGGAAAAAAAAAGTTATTTTGAAAATAATCTGATGTCAATGGTTGAAAACATACTAAATCCTCATATTTGACCATATATTACGCACCATTGTTGCAATCTACGATTTCACTGAACATAAAAGCTTGGTGAAAAGCAATTTTCTAACGTAACATGAGTTGCTCGAGAAAACGATATAGATAGCTTTCCAAATGAAGTATAGTCATGTTATCTAACATGATACTTCACAGACAAATTTATTCAATCTTACTCTATAAAGAAAATTTGACTATAGATATTCGAAAATTTTCACACTATAGACTGGAATAATTCTAAGAAAAATCAAGAGTGTGTGGATGGATATAGATTATAGAGCCAAAAAATAACCTATAGTCCCTCAGGGATCGATTTTTGGTTGGAAAAAATTTCTTAAAATAAATATGATTCTATGGAATTTTTGATACTGTTTCCGAATATGCTATTTATTTCGCTTTGTTGCTGAATCATAACAACAATAAAACAAAATAGCGACTTTTTTAACCCATAATTTGATGATTCTAATGAGACAAGACACTTTCTTCTATTTATTGTTACAAAAGACCAGATAGATTTACAAGATGACTTACAAAAACGTACCTTTGTTGGACAGGTTTTTTTAAACGTTCTCTACCGTGAAATCTATTCGAATAAAATTTTCTTACTTAGTTTTTCACGCTGATTCAGAATAGAATATTTTTAAAAAGTTTAACTAAATAGATCTCTTTGGCATTTAACAATTTCTGTACAAAAAAAAACAGAATATAGCTGTCCTATAGGACATTTGTAGTCACTCGACTTTTTCAACATATTTCTCAGTTAAATAGTGTTGGAATCGAAATAGAACATATATATTTGTGATTAACTTGCTCTGCTCTATCAACCCATGTATTAATGAATGAAAAACAAAAATCACTGAAATTTTACATTTCTCCAACCTTACATCACTCTTTATTTTTCATATTATTAGAATAGATACAACATCCGAAGATGATGACAATAACGCACAAAACAAGAAAAGAATACTCTCTTTTAAATTAAATCGGCAATGTTCATGGGCAATTCTTTGATTCGTGTATTATAAAATTGTGTAATACGATGTAATGTTTGTTGTTCATCATTGATAATGAAATTGATAGCCACACCTTTTCGACCAAATCTGCCACGACGTCCAATACTTAATCAAAAGAATCAATTTCATTTATTTTTGGCATTATTGGGTGTGGGTGTGAGGTGTGGGTGTGAGTGTATGGGGTGTGGGTGTGGGTGTAGGATATGGGTGTGACGTGGGTGTGTGGTTGTGGGTTAGGGTGTTGGTTTGTGTTTGTTTTATTTTTACCCGCACTCATGCCCACACACCCACACGCACACCCATACCACACCCCACAGCCACACCCTAAACATGCGTTGCTCCTCAAAGTGCATCTTTTGATATTAATTCGATGAGTTATCCAGCTGAGAGCACATACCAATAATACTCTTCCATACTTTCCTATTCATGTCACAGCGGAAGTGGGTTATCATAATATGAAAGGTTCCATTTCACCAAATTTAAATACCACATTTATTAAGTGACTTTTCCAACAATGAGTTATTGGATATTTGATGTCCTGGGACGGTATCATTGGTTTTCGTACTGAGTGATCTCGAAGTTAGGCGTCATGGTACAATTGAACGCTTGTCAAAGTAAAACAGTCTTGAAGAAAAGAAGAACAAAGAAGATGCATTGTTTGCTTTGTCATTATATGATAATGTCTTTTTGTCACTGACAAGACATTTCATGTGATAAAACCTTGCCTTTTAAAACAGTCTATCGCCAATGCCCTTTCATTTTTTTGATGAAAGAGAACAAGACATTTTTTTTATCTATTGCAGTAGAGATGTGGTGATGCTAAGAAAATAGAGACTTTCTGGAAAATCGATAATATCGTGAAATTAAGATGATTTATCGATGTAATGATTCGAAAGAGTAAATTGAGAAAATTTTAGTCTAATTTGATTCGATCATGCAAATGGACTTTTTGATAATGGTGCAGATTTTATTTTTCATCATTATTGTAAAATGTTCATGAATAATTCATAATAAAAAATATGAAACGCATCGGGATTGCACGCAGAATTCGTTTTAGAATAAAATTTTAGTGTGGGCTGCGGGTGTGGTTGTAGGTGCTGATCTTCTCTTCATTGATGCCCACACCGATACTCACACTACACACTCATACCCGCACTCATCCACACCCACATCCACACCCGCACTTGCACCCCCACCCACCGACACCCACATCGACACCCACACCCAGACCTATACCTCACACCCACCCACACCCTCACCCTCAAGATAGGTGATACATAGTTGTAATACGGCTACCAAAAATCACCAATACACGACCGTTTATGGCCCTATTACATTGTGCATAGTCATCTACGGTGGTGCTTATTTCACTTGAGTATTATATGCAAATATTTATTTCTAGTATATAGTATGACAGTGGACTAGCCTTGAAAGTGTTTTTCTTATTTTTATCATTCTCGGCTTTTGATATTTCGGGATGACGGTGAGGCCAAAATCTTTTTTTTCTCTTTTTTTGCGCTTCTTATCGCAGCGCTACGATACAAAAGGAAAGCAAAGTCAAAGCACATTACTTTCTGCATTGTGCATATGAATGATGATGATGATGCTTCTTGTTCTTGTCTTTACTCTGCTAATAATATTTGCGATTTACATCAAACTAAAATACTTTACCCTACGTGGCCCTTTGCCCGGAAAACCACCTCAATTTTTGTTTGGAAATATCGTACAGATGGGCATGTTACGTGGAGTTTCTCCAGCTACTATCAATTTGCAAATGCAAGCCGAATTTGGCGATGTTTATCAATATTTTGCAGGACCCTTGCGAGTGATTGGTCTATGCAATGCTGAAGATATACAACATGTATTTAGTCATCGACACATCTATGAACAAGGCAATATGCACACGCAACAGATTGCACCTTGTCTAGGCGATTCACTAATTGCCAACATAGGTCAGTGATAGAGATAAGAGTATAGTTGAATAGTTCGATTTTTGAGAATATAGATTGCGTACAGAAAAAACGATTCTCATATCTGATTATTTCTTTATATTTTAGGAGCCAGATACAAGCGTTATGCAAGTATAGTCCTTCCTCTATTTCGTCGTAGTAAAGTCTTGGGCTATTTGGACCTAATCAATGATTGTACGGACAAATTGCTCGATCGATGGCGTTTGAAGAATGATGATCCTACTCGTATTCATCTCGACATAGGAAACCAATTTCAAGAACTAATACTCGCAATATTCGGCTTGATTGCTTTTGACAATGATCTAGGAGCGTTAAATGATGATGCTGATAGTGTCAAAACCAATAAGCTGAGAAAAGCTTTATTCGATTTTATGGATAGTGTTCTGTGGACTCTTTACATGCCACCAACTGCGTCTAAAATCTATCTGAAATTCAGTCGTCAATATCAGCAAGCAATGAATATTATCCGCGAGGATTTTAATAGAATGATCGAACAAGAACAAAGCAAGACACCAGAATTGATTGCCGAACGAAAGAGAACTAGTCTGATTGCATCACTTGTTAATTCTTTGCAGCAAGATGAGAAGAGTGAAGCGGCTAAATCAGACGATAAACAGAAAGGTAAATCAGTTATTTTCGATAGAAATGTCTTTATAGAAACACTTTTCTCTTTTTGAGGACTATCTCGTAATGAAGTACTCCAGGAAATGCTCATGTTTCTTGTGGCTGGTTACGAAACAACATCGACTGCACTCACATGGTTCGTTCATCTTGTAAGTAAAAATCCTCGTGTTCAAGCAAAAATCAAAGCTGAGCTAGGTGACAATAAATCTCAACGTCTGTCTATTGAACAGCTCGACTCTCTTGAGTATTTAAATTGTGTTATTGATGAGACATTGCGTTTTGCTCCACCTGGAAGTTACACAGTTCGCAATGTAACTATCGATGATCGACTACCAGGAAGTGGAACCCAATTATATAAAGGTGATGAAGTTATGATTAATATTTATAATTTAACTCGAGATAAACGCTATTGGAAAATCGATCCAGATCTATTCTATCCAGAACGATTTCAAGGTGTAGATAAAGATCATCATCCGTATGCATTGATTCCATTCGGTGGTGGTCATCGACAATGTGTTGGACAAGATTTAGCTCGATTAGAATTGAAAGCAATCACAACTAGACTTATGCAACATGTAACTTTCGGTGATGGTGGTCAAGAAGTCAATGCAGGTGGACACAAACGGGAATTTACGCTCCATCCAAAGAATGTTGGCGTCACTATTACATTCGACTAATCTTTCATTTCTACAGATCCAAGCGATTATTGATGTATTAGGACCACTTGACATCTTGTGTAAAAGTGAATTACTATTTCAGCTTGTTATTGTGTAATTAGGCAACATTTATTCTTATGATTTTATTTATCGTTTCGAATAGATATCTCTTTTTTTATTCAAACCATCGTGATATAAAGTATACAAAATGAAAAAGCTTTTAGCGCAATCCTTACGGGATAAAAAAGTGAAACACAATAATTGATGTTAGATATCGAGTAGAATATGTAATGTAACTATGTCAGATCGAACTATTCAATGAGAAAAATACCTCTCGAGTTGATTCATTTTTTGCAATGAACACCCATAAATTGAATTGCGAGAAAAATGTTACATGTCGTAACTCATTTTTTCCGAAAAGAGTGACTTTATAAATATACATATATCATGAAAATCAGAGTTTCATGTTTGTTTTGAGTCACCACGATACGAATTTTGATCTGACGAAAGATCTT